AATTTCGAACACTGGGTGTACGGGGCCGGTGCCAAGAAGCCAAAAAAAAAAAATAGGCACAATGCCTTTTTTTTTTTTTTAGGCGGTGATAAGCCGAGACAGTCGACGAACCTAAGAAATATGTTTTGTGGGGTATGGCCGGCTAAGGGGACTTGATTATCAAATTAATCTTTTTGTTCGCTATTATAGGCAAATTTTGTTATATTTATGGTTCTTTTAACGGATTTATGGCTATATTAGCGATTAAAGTTTATGGAATGCTTCATTAATTTTCTATTATGCCTTTTAATCAAGAATTAATATCTTTGCAATTATACGAAATTCGAATTGGATACTAGAGTGAGGATATTTACATAATATAAGGTAATATTTGATAGTGACATTTCTCTGCTTTAATAATCAATAGTTTAAAATACTTACTACAATATTTATTCCGACAAGTTAAATACTTTTTACATCGTTATGACGCATATGGAGACGGTCGTTTATTGAAAATAGCAAACTTTATGAACTACCAAAGTTATCTTGTGCATGTTTGCTAAATGATAGATGCACTTGGATTATAGGTCGATTACTCAGTGCATCAACGTATTCAATTAACTAATTTCCTGAACCTATATTGTCATTCCATTCATGCAACAACGAATTACCGAGGTTGTGGATCAATTTTTTTCATCTAAATTTTCAATTTTCCTATACTACAGTACTAATTATACTAATTGCTCTTTTTTCATTCGTTTCTACTGAATTCGAAGTTCACAGGGATTTTGTTTATTTTCGTGCATTTCTTTCATGTTTAGAATTTAAGTGATTGAGTTTTATCACTTTGGACTTGTCACCGAACCTAAACAACGTCTGGAACATGAACTTTTTTTTTTTAGGTCACGGTATTGTTCTAGTATTTGTTATATTCTATATTATATGTGATTTAAGATATTCTAAAATTTCTTTATTAGAGAGCGGTCAATTTGGTTAAATTCTTACAAAGTGGATATAATTAGTGAACAGCAATGTACAACTGGCACAATCTATAGTTTCATCTTCAAATCATTAATGCATATTTTTGTAAGTAGAAGTTTAATTCTGTATTATTTTTAATTAATTTTATAATTTTATAACTTCAGTGGATAAATAACATCAGCCGGATATCTGTAAAGAAAATGAATCTATAAAGTTGCTTGGATTAAATCAAAAAAAAGAAGTGTTATTGATTGTCGTTGCGATCTGCTTTTGTGTGATCAATTTGACTGCATATTTTTTTTTCGATTTTAGCCTAGGAGTATCTCAGGACGCCAGTGGCGTTCTTTATTAGTATTCTACGTAACTACATTGATTAATTAATTAATTTATCATAAAAGTTCCTTTGTGATTTTTTCCTTATTTTTACATTTGCTATCTCTTTTACAATCGTATTTAAGCACTTATTATTTTGTCGAATTTGTGTTTAATTACTAATTCTAATACGGAGTCGGGATGGGTTCTCATTTTGCGTGCGTATACCAGACCCAAATTTCATAGACAGCATTAATGTTTATCCAATTCCTTAGGGGATATTACCGTGTAATGATCTGTGACATATCCTTTAAGTTTTTAGGTATTTCAAGTTTTTTTGTGGGGGTTACTAGTTCTAATGCTATTTTCCAAATTCTTTTATTTATAGAACAATTTAGAGTGAAGTGCTTTGACGATTGAATGTATTGGAGTAGTTTGGGCATCCCCCTGAATCATTTGGGTTAATATGTAGAAGTCTGCGACCCAAGGGTAAGGCTTTATACTGAAGATGCCAGTATATGTTTTTTTTTTTTTGAGATTAGAAACCCATTTGCTTTTCATCCAATTCCAACTATCTTTCCATGTATCATTTATTAGCTGACTCCGGTTTTTTAATATTGCAAAGTGTTTCTCTTTTAAATATCTACTATATTTTTGACTGAAAATGTATTTGTGATAACAAGATTATTTTTGTTCCAAGGTCAGTTTCTGGCACTAACCTATATTCATGCTGTTATATATGGTTTCCATTGTTCTGTCCATCCTTTTGTTTAACTGCGCTTGTATTTAAGGTTATTTTAACTGCAATGTTCCTTTTATCATGTAGGTTCTTTCAATTATCGCCCTTCTGCTTTTGCCCATAGATTATCTTCGATTAGAAGTTTTATTCAGATGTATAGCAAACGTGCATCTGATTAAGTCTGGTAGCGTTGTGGCGTCCAGTCTACCTTGTGATGGTGGGAGTTGACTATGTATATTTAGTTGGCGAAGTAAGCGGACCACTTTTGAAAAGTTTCTCAACAAGGAAAGATTTAATTTGTGCAAAACGATCGCAACGCGAAAGATGAAAAGAATCTTTGTATGGATGAATCAAACTTCAATATTTTGTTAAATGTAATTATATGTTTTATGATTCAATTCTAATGTATTTTATATTTGAGTAATTTAAATAATTATTAATTAATGCCGTAATATATTGTGCAGAAAAAACATCTGTATTGGATTATATGATGCATAAGGTCTATCTCTCAAGACTTTTAAGTGGGGTTGAAATTCCTTTGAAAAAAAAAACATCGATAAAGTTGACCTTTTATATTTTTATTTACTATTTACGAGTTGATTGTAGTATAGATCTTGGTTACTGCAAATTTCAAGATCCATGAATGAAGTTTCAAGAAAAAAGCAGTGAAAATAAACGAAGCTGTAAAAAAACTGGTGCTTTCGCAAACAATTATCACATCAATTCTGATATCATCGACATCAAGAAAAATTCACCAAAGAATTAATAGTTACCTATTAAATTTTTTCCACCTCGATTCACGGGCCAAGGAAACCCTGAGGGAGACGAATTCTTATTTTCAAATGAACAAGTTTTTGCCGTAGATAATGTTGTTATTCTTACGCCAGAATGAATGCCAATGAGCACTTATGATGAAGATTTAATTTCTGATATTCAAATTTTTTAAAAAAACAATTATTCTGGCAGTATAAAGTGAATCTGATTCACACTTACTCTTTAAAGGTTAAGATTCTTTGTTCAAGTAAGTTTTTTACGTTCTTACATTTTGAGATTATATCTACCGTATTCCTCCGAAAATAAGCACCCCCTACAATTCATATTATATAATTGAAATAAGCAACAAAATATCAAATCATACCCGAAAATAAGCAACCTTATAGCAAAAAATGGGTGCTTATTTTCGGAGGAATATGGTAAATAGTTTGTTCACTCAGTTAATATTATGTTGTGTATATCCGAATATCTTATATTTAATCAATATCCTGAACTATATTATAGACCCGGATTTAAATCTGAGGAATCTATTATTGTAGCGAATCTTGCATTAGACTTTTTAAGGTAATTGATTTGGGGTGACACTTTGGTCGTGATTGGCGAGATCCAACAAAAGAGAATAATCTTTATGTCTATTGCCAGGATATTTTGCTTTAATCACTTGCACAATGAGAAGTATCTTTATTAGTTATTCCAAGAAAATCTCGGGACTCTGATCCTATAACTATTAGTACGTGATATATCAAGTATATTCTATATGTAATAGTAATTATACCACTACCTCATACCAGTATATAAAGTATTATAGTTAGTATTAACCACCACTTTTTATTAGTCCGGTATAATTCAGTAATTAAAACTATATTACGCTACACCTTGGACTTTATTAATATATAGCACATAATAAATTCTGCATGTTACAATATTAAGTCGATTGAAAAATTAGAATTCAAAATTTATAAAAGTATACTTTATTATAATAGAAATCCTTTGTAAAAGGCAGTATTAATTTGTTTGCTGAATCAGTGTAAATTTTATTGGAATAACTTTCATCGCAATAAATTTCATCAGAATAAACTTTATCAGAATAAATAATTTTTCTACTTTTTATTGGGTTTAATTGCATAAATTTTTATGAGACCTAGATAATTCTAATAAGATTTGTTCATTATTTTGCAACTTTGTAAAAGTTACTACGACTTTGTCTGCAAATGAAAATTTTTCCGGTTTTTTCATCCCAGCATTGTTTTGTTAAATCAACATAACAAGTTTCTGTAAATTCTTATATAAAATTTCTCACATGATTATGCCAAATGAGTAAATATCAGATGCTTTGGTATTTGGAGTTTTATTTTTAACTTCAGGTAAACTCTGGCAATTTTATCAGTATCAGATTTTAATTTTTTCAATGCAAGGTTAATTATTATTGAAAGTCCTAAATCGCCGATGTACCCACTTTGTATTTTTTTAGCAGTATATTGCCACAATGTTAAATCCCGATGAATAAAGTCATGCCTATGAATTATCTGAAGATCTGAAGCGATACAATGTAGCAGATTTAATTTATCTTTCCAATCCATTTGTGCTATAGATTATATATTTTCGGCAAACTACCATATGAAGCATGTGTCATGACAAGAATATAATCTTTAGAAGCTTTGTCTCTTGATATGCCCAAACATTTTAAAAAAGTAGGATTTTTAAGACTATGCTTTTAACTTATTATTAAATTGAAATACTGTATATTTTCAATTATTAATATAATGATAAAATACAATGAAATATTGTAATTAATAAAAATATGAATTCTTCGTGAGAATCATGATCATTACTTGATCCGCGAAATAATTAAGTGCAACATACCTGTCACACCCTCGATTTTTATCAAACAATTCAGGGACATGATATACAGTTGCAAACCTATCATTTCAATATTTTTAAATTCATTATAAAAAAGCCAAAATAATTAATATTTATTTTCCATCAATATTTTTTTCAATTATCATCAATTTCAGTATTATGCACACATTCATTGTGGTTAATCTACATAATAAGGGAAGGTTTTGATTAAACAGGTGGCGCAGGAATTTGTGCATGCACAAAATTTTTTTTTATGCACAAAATTTTTTGTGCAAAATTTTCAACACTGTGCATGGCTTAAATACAATACCGTTCTGAAAATAAGCATTTTTTCTTTTAGTTAATTTGGGTATTGGTATAAATAAATATAAAAACAAAAATTGAGTTAGCGATATGATATTGAATAACTTAAAATAATTCGACTACTACATTATTGTATACTCAACAGCTAAATTAATGCGAATTTGTCCCTCACATTAAACTATTGCCTTAAATAAATTTCATAGTTAATAAACGACGAAACTGATTTGAAAAGTCTCAAACACAAATGAGTGAGTTATTGAGATGCATAGTTAGCATTACTTGGCATTCTTTTCTGTATAGATAAAAACCAGATCACCAGCCTAATAGTTTAAGTTTATAGGCAACCTGGTTTAATATTTGTTTATTTATAATAAATTAGCAAGATAACGAAGAAAAGAGTCACGTGAACTGATTTCTGCCTATTAGATTCAATCCAAGTCTTAATTGTTAATGCAATTTTGAAAGACAATAATAGAAAAAAAAAATTCATTTTATAAATTAGATAGCTGCACGACGTTAACGTGCAAACCAGGAACGGAAAGCCTAAAAAAAGAAAACAATTGATTATCAACTTGCTGCTAGATAAAATGTAAGAATTTACGTCTAACCGATTATTCTTTACCCTTCAACTTATTATTCTTGCATCAATCAAATCAACCAATGTGGTATTTATTTATGCTGATTGTTATTATCGGCATGTATATATTCGTCAAGTAATTATCTAAGTGGTAAAAAATGATGAAAAATAACGATTTCGGTCTTTTTTTTTATCGTTACAAATATGTACACTACGAGTGACATTAACTCAAATAAATGAAATTTTCTGTAGTATGATTGTTGTTCCCACCTTTACAGTAAATAGTTATTAGCATGAATTGATTATTTTAATTGATCTCCAAGGTCACACTAATTTAATTTTTCGTTTTGCATCACCCGCCGACACAAATTTTCAAAAATTCAATTTTTTTTACAATAACATTTTACTTTAAACAAAAGAATAGTACTTGATTCAAAAACAAATAATACTTAGAACATTTCGGATAGATCCCTTTATGAGACCTTATTGTTGAATCTACAAATTTCATCATCATCCATCTCAGTATCATTAACATATTATTAAATAACGCTTTCATATTGTTAACCGTTTTAAACAAAAAAAAATTTTCATGTCATTAACAATAAAATCACAACGTTCACATTAAATCTGTTGGCGTAATTTTGGTATAGTCGCGTTTACGTGAAGATCGCACTAGGTCATCAGTAATAAGATCCGGAAAAATAATTTTTTCCGCGTTCAAGAATGCTATAAATAGCAAGATTATCGAAATAATATCACACGGTGACTCATTCGCATCTTTTTTTAATCATTATCGGTTACACCTAGTGATGGGTGACGAAATTGACGAAATTTGACGAATTAAGTATTTCGTTCAATTTCGTCGCTATGAAAATAATTTCGTCATTCGAAATGTCACCCATCTATAGTTACGCACGTCTGAAATCTGTGACAGGTTATGTCGACCATTGCTGGTTGTAGCCAATAAAGTCACAAGATCATGTGTAACTTAAAAAATTCGAAAATACTTTGAGAAAACAGAAAAATCGTAAATAACTCAAGACTTTACTATGATAACCACAGTTTGACTTCTAAACAGAAGTTTTCAGAACGAAATTTTAGTTATATAAATACATTTAAATATCGAATTATCAAGTAAATTAAAGCCTGCACTTAATTCTAATCGCACTTAATTCTAATCTTAATGCCCTTTCGATTTGGTGATCGACATAACCTGTCACAGATTTCAGACGTGCTATAGGCACACCGCTTTAGCAAATCAATATTCAAAATAAATTAACAATTTCTGACGTCTTATAATGTAGGTCTTTTTGATTGTTTGATCAACGAGTTATATATGATCATCTCTTCTAATTGGCAGTCTCAGGTTAGATTAGACCTAAAGGTTTACAAATTTAGCGTGGACACCATGCACAAATAATTTTTTACATGCAATTACTATAGATCTGCGATAAATATGTAAACCTGGTCTATCTAGGGATGTCTTTTCTAGTTTCTTATTGATAACAATCTCTGATATAAAGATAAATCATTCTATTAGTATTTCCATTTTGATAATTAAATTTTATATTATTTCGGGAAGAAATGCAGGTTTTGTAAGTCTATTCACTGAGACACTCTAATTTTCAGAATTTAATATGGGTAACGGATTAGTACAAGTCATTCTTGTACTTGGTAAGTTACCGATAGGTTTAAACATAGTTTTATAATGCCTTATGATTAACTGATTCGAAACTTAATTGAAATCATGGTTATCGTACCTGAACAAGTAAAATGCCTTTTCAAGAAAGCCTTAGAAATCAAAAGACATTGGCTTCATGAAAATTCAGTCTATTAGTTTAGATTAATAAAAAAAAAAAAGTCCAACTGTCTGACCGAAATCAACTTTGTGTGACCTAATGCTCAACTAATAAAAATAATACAGTATCATGACAGACTAATTTAATGAAAATTAAATAGAAATGATTAAGTACTTCGATTAAAAATTATTATTATAAGTATGCAAAATTTGTCGAATAACGGTAATTTGGCAAACCGGGGCAAATGAACACGTGCCATTCAGTTGCCCGGTTGAGCAAATATTCATCAATTTGTCTAATATTAGTGTTTCACGGCAATTTATGATCATGATTGGTAGGGAGTAGTGATGCAGAAGAATCGTCCCAATGATGTCGAATGATAGTTGTCACATGGCTGTAACTTGCCGTAACTATAGTAAGTAATATAATAAAGTTACGGCATTATAGCCGTAACTTTATTATATTACTTACTATAGTTACGGCAAGTTACAATCATGTGACAACTATCATTCGACATCATTGGGACGATTCTTCTGCATCACTAGTAGGGAGTCATCGGCCGAGCTTTAATTTGAATAA